GCCACGCTGCTCTGGATCCAGCCAGTACCTTCCCCCCTCCCTCGCACAGCAGGACCCATGGGGTGGGGGGACCCAGCGCAGGAGCAGTACAAAAGCACCACAAACCTGTCCTTGGACACCCACGGCTGGGAACGTGCCGGTGCTGCCCCTGCAAGATTCGTTTTCCAAATGGATTTACAATGTGGGGTGATGGAGATGTGCAGAACCTTCCTGGCTTCACTTGGGACAGCAGAGGATGGGGGGCGGGAGTAGTTGGTACCCACAAAACATAGCGGTTGTATTCCTTGTTATATCGGAAGGAAGTTGGATCCACTGGCTTTTTTTGTGCTGGAGACCTGAGGAAGTTTGCTAGGGAGAAGGTGGTGGGGCAGGAACTGAACCTGGATTTCTGAGATCCATATGAGCCCCGAGCCCAAACCCCAGGGTGGAGGTGACACCACACCAGGTCCCTCCCTACCCTGGTTCAGTCCAGACTGCACCCTGCTGAGCAAAACCATCAAAAGACAAGAAGTAGCCTAAAATACTGGAGCTATCCTTCCAGGCTAGATGTGACAGGGAATACTTAAGGATTCTTTGCATCCTGTATGAAGGGTATTTTAGGGCTGTCACAATCAATCACTCACCGTGGGACCGCAGCGCGGCTGCCGTGCCGAGCTCCGACGCAGTTTCCGAGGTGGTTGGGGTGCTCTCCGTGAGTCGGCCGCTTCCCGACTGACAGCGGCCTGGTGTTTTCTTACCCAGCCAGACACATTGTGGAAGTGGATGGGAAAAGAGGCCTCTTCCGCGGTCTTACTCCTCGCCTCGTCTCAAGCACTTTATCAACCATCACCCGGGGGAGCGTGAAGAAGGTAAAGGTCGGCTTCTCTCTCCATAAATCAGTTGGCTGGGTCTGCTGCAGCGGAGCCTGCACGTGGAGGGATAAAGCGCCCACCCACCTCCTAACGGCTTTGAGTTCCTCCCGCCCAGGGGAACAGTGCCCCTGTCCCTAAAACTCACTTTTAAACAGCTTTAATTTAATGTGAACAGCCACTTGCCTTTTGTCTTTCGAGAGCAAACTGCTCACTCAAACTTTTGTGAGCCCTCTCTTCCCCTGTTTTACTTTCCATCCTTCCTTCTCACCTGGTTTTCTTCTCCTCCCATGTCGACCCCAACTGCTCGTGGTTTCCTTCTGTCCTCTGACACTGGGGGTTTGTGGGTCAGCGTCTCCACCCGTTTTGACGATACGTTCCTCTCTCTCCGCTCAGGCCTTCCCACTGGAAGACATGGAGCACGTTTCTAACAAGGATGATGTCAAGACCTCCCTTAGGAAGGTGGTGAAAGAGGTGAGAAGTGGGTGTTGCACGTTAATGAGCGATCGGGGTGATGGCACTGGGGCTGTGCCTGGAGAGCAAAGGAAGCTGGAACCGCGGGCAGCGGGTGAAGTTACTCGGAGAGAAATTCCCAGTGAAAAGTGTTTAGTAGTCACTGGTCCAGCTACGAAAGATTTTGTAGAAATAGAGGTTTGCCACGAACGACACATTTCGAGAGGGACCTGAGACGGGTTTCTGAGGGAAAGGACCTGGTCTGTGCAGGTGGATCAGGGCAGATTTTCATACAGGTGTGGTGTTTTTTCCTCCCCGCCCAGACATCTCACGAGATGATGATGCAGTGTGTGTCCCGGGTTGTCTCACATCCGCTGCACGGTGAGTCCTGTCTCTCTGCCTGAGCCCTCTCCAGCCTGTGAACCGCCCCCAAACCCCGTTTCCTCGATGGGCTTCTCTGTCAGAAATGGCTTCGTAGAAAACAGGGGAACTGCTGCAGGTCTGAGTGGTTCCTCAGGGAGGCTGACACTTCAGGGACTAACCCAGCTGGGCGTCGAGGTGCTCTCTTCCGAGTCATCCAAGAGCTTGTCCTAGAAATCCTGCTGGGGTTAGGGCCAGAAATCCTTCCCATCACTTACAGCCTAGGGGAGGGCCCCAGTTTCTCATGAGTCTTGCAGTGATGAGAACCACAGAGAGGAGCTGGAGGCGATGGGAGTTGAGGGAAGGGAGGGCAGAAGGTCCTGGTTGCGTTTTCCTTCACGTCCGTTGCATCCCAAACCGGATTCGTTTCTTTGTCAGCCCCGTGTTTCTTTCCTCCTAGTGATCTCTATGCGCTGCATGGTCCAGTTCGTAGGCCGGGAAGTCAAATACAGGTGAGGGGCCGCAGCTCGGAAGGGTCTGGGCACACAGAAGCGCGAGTCTGGGAGTCAGCCGTGGGAATGTGGAGACCCAGGAGGTTTGGGAGACCGAAAAGTGAATCTGGTTAGAGGGTGGGTGGCTGCAGGGTGAAGGGATATAATATCCTCAAGGGATATAATATCCTCAACATCAGAAGGATATTGACCACTTGGAGCGAGTCCAGAGGAGGCCACGGAGATGATCCGAGGGCTGGAGCACCTCTCCTATGATGAAAGGCTGCGAGAATTGGGCTTGTTCAGCCTGGAGAAGAGGAGGCTCCGAGGAGACCTCATTGCAGCTTTCCAGTATCTGAAGGGGCTACAAGGGTGCTGGGAGAGGACTTTTTACAAGGGCCTGTAGTGATAGGACAAGGGGTAACGGGTACGAATTGAAATCAGGGAGGTTTAGATTAGATATCAGGAAGAAATTCTTCACAGAGAGGGTGGGGAGCACTGGAACAGGTTGCCCAGAGAAGCTGTGGATGCCCCATCCCTGGGAGTGTCCAAGGCCAGGCGGGATGAGGCTTGGAGCAACCTGGTCTAGTGGAAGGTGTCCCTGCCCATGGCAGGGGGGTTGGAACTGGATGGTCTTTAAGGTCCCTTCCAACCCAAACCATTCTGTGATTCTATGATTCTAAGGGAGGTGGGAAGGCCGGGCTCTGTCCCGGTGTGCCTCTGTTCTGCCTCGTGCCCCTGGGGATTTTGGTGGCTGTAACACACCTTGCTCATCACACGACGAGTCTCCTGCCTTTTTGCTTTAGGTGTTAGTAGAAAGGGAAGTCAGCAGGGAGGCAGAGTAGGTAATACAAAGCATTGCAGCGGCCCTGCTAGCCTGCAAGATTTTTCCAAGCCTTTTCCAGTAGTACCTGTCTCTCTGCGAGGCAAAGCTACAAGTGCAGCCACGTGAAAGCACGCTAAACACGATTGTAGCTGACCCACGGCTGCCGGCACAAGTTCCCGGGAGCAGGACGGGGTTCTTAGGCTGAGAATTGGCCTAATCGAAGCGTATTACGTACCGCAACCGCGGCACGTGCACCCGCTCACGCCAAGCTGGGCAGAGCTCTTCCAGCTTCAGCGTTTAAACAGTTATCAGCGAGTTGAGCGTTGTCCCCGATGCTGTCGCAGACACGACCCGCTGCGGGGAAGCAGCGGAGCAGAGCTGCCCACTGCGTCGCGATGGCCGGGGGGGACACTGCTGTGGCGGGTGGCCGGAGGTGGAGCAACCCCTGCACACTCACAGCTCCTTCCCTTTCTTGGCAGCGGTGTCTTCAGCGCCATCGGCAGGATATTTAAGGAAGAAGGGATCCTGGGATTCTTCGTGTACGTGAGTTGTTTAAATACTTTCTGCCGCAGTCTGGAGGCACCGGCGGCTCTCCTGGCTGCTCTGCCGAGCTCGGAGTCGCGCTGGGCTCCCCCCCCTTGTCTGACCGTGGGGCTCTCGCATCGCTCCCATGAGCACGGATTGAATCAGCACCTTTGCCAGCACTCCAGCGTGAGCTCCGTTTGCCCCAGGCCTCACCTGCAGTCACACCTTCGGAGGAAACCCCGTATTTCATCGTCCTGTTCTTTTCCCTCCGCTGTTTCTTCCGGGAGGGGCCATCTAAAGCGTCAGGCACCAAGATCAAGGGCAACAACGAGACCCCTTGTTGGAATAAAAGCTGGGGCTGGGATAAGGAGCACATTCCTCTGGAGAGCACCGTGGGTGCTTGGAAGGAGCAGGTGGTTGGTGCTGGCAGCAGGTTTGCCTGGAGCGTGGTGCTGCCTGGCACAGCGGCATCGCTGCCTGGACCAGAAGGAGCTGGAAGCTGCTCCCAGCCTTACGAAGCGGGGCGGATTGACGGCGTTGCTGGAGTGGAAATCTTCCAGACACCTTTTTGCTTGAACCCTTAATTAATGCTTCTTGCCTTTCTTTACCATCTGTATAAAAGCAGAACGACCTGCTGCCTCTGCTCCCGGTGGGGAGAGAACTCACGTTATTCTGTCAACAGTAGTAAAGGCAGCGCCGAAATTGCCCGAGGCGTTTCCAGGCCTGATGCCTTTGGCTCTGCAGTCGCAAAATTTGGGCCTCCAGGTGAAACCCGAGCGCATCAGGAGGAGGCAAGCAGTTGCAGGGGGTCTCACCTTGTCCTTCCCCAAGGGTCAAGAGACCCCCATCAACGGTGTGTCGCTGCATCCTCTGGCTGCCCACAGCTTCTCCGCTGAGCTGTGCAGCCCCAAGCCTCCTCCCTTAAATACAGGTTCCTCGGGGATGTTCCCATGCGTGGGGCACGGCCAGAGCACGCTGCCCTCCCTCTCCTCCGCCTCCCGAGGAAATAACGCGAAAGGAGCCGCCGCCTTCCCTTCCTCCACATAAAATAAACACCGTTGGTAGCCTAATTAAACTTAATAGTTCACAGGAAAGGCTTTAGCACAACCCAGAATGTCTCAGGAGGGCTCTGAAGTTGTATGTGCTGTACAGCCCTGCTAGAAGTCGCACTGCCGTGAGGGGAGCACAGGCTGCGTCTGTAGGACCAAACGGCTCATTTTCTGCTCCCAGCCCTCCTAACGCCACCTGGACACGTCCGCTCCCTTGGAGTCGTCGCGGCACACGGGCTTCTCACGGCCGTACGAGCTCTGCGCGGCGGCACACGCTGGGGCTGGATGCACGCCTGGCTGGAGATACGACTTGTCAGGGGACGCGCTTACCTTGCTTCCGCTC